AAAAATCAGTTCTCATTTGACTCACGTTCATAGTTGGTCTTCCGACCCCTCTTCATTCATCATTTCAAACGCCTGATCTCCTGTGCTTGACCTGGCTAGCTTCACTTGTACCATCAGGTCTCTCGGCTGGATGGACCACTGGAGCAAGGGAGAGCCTCGATTCTCTGGCATTCGGCCAGAGAAGAGGCTACCCCCTCAAAGCTCCTTGGCCAGGTGCCCTTCCCCGGGCTCCTGGGGGGTTTACAAGCCTGCTCACCCCCTCCGTCCGCCAGAGCATGGAGACACCCCCGGAAGATCCGGGAGGTGAGTCCGTGAGCGTGCCACCATCAACCGGAAGTCACCAAGGCCTTCTTCTAATGTTGCTTCGTAGCACTAAAGTCCAGAGGTTTGCTGCCTCTGGATATAGAGGTTGTTTCTGGAATGTATATCAGGTATGAGCATCTCATTCCAAGAGGATTTTGTATGTTTAAAATTTATTATATAGAGATAAACACAGAGATACAGAAGGACTTGGCAACAATCAGACAGACAGACAGATAGGTATAGAACGAACAATGTATTCCATCATACACTGGGAAAATACAAAAGGTTGTGTATTATCTTGATATTGCACATTCCAATACATAACAAAAAGCACCAATTTCTCAATAAGGATAGTTGTTTTAAAATGAGATAATATTCTTATTGAACAGCTTGTGATGTGAGCAGACAGGATCTGAATTTCACCTTCTGGTCTGCTGTCATTCGAGGCTGTGCAGAAGATAAAAAGCAACATGAAAAGTGATTATTTTTCTTCTTTGTAAAAAAACAAAGCAAAAAAGTCTTACCATGTGTGGCACTGGGTATCTGCTTCCCGGAAAGACTTCGTCTGAACAGCGTTCCCTTTGTTTTTGTTTCTCATATGTGAAGATGTTTTCAGCAGCCTTGACTCCACTTTGAAGGAGCCCGGTGTCTTGCTGAAAGTGAACTCTCGCGTCGATCGGTTGCTCTTTCTAAAACGTACGTAAATACTCATTATCACGATGCTCGTCCCTCCTCCTCTGCCAAACCTGATCAGAAACTCTGTGCTTGTATGCACCACTTGGGGCATTTTAGAACATGTTATTTTTAAAATGCAAAGTGTGTAGTATTTGGAATCATTCCCCTTTTGGATAGATTCAGGTGGGTAGCTGTGTTGGTCTGAAGCAAAGTTTGAGTCCAGTGGCACTTTTAAGACCAACAAAGTTTAATTCTGGGTATAAGCCAGGGATGGCCAAACTTGCTTAACTTAACAGCCACACAGAATAAACGTCAGATGTTTGAAAGCTGCAAGACACGAACACATATTACATGTTTTTATTGGAAAATATGCAAGTTTGCTTTTTATTAACATTAAATTAGATTGTGTGAAAGAGCTGCATGTGGCTCCCAAGCTGCAGTTTGGCCACCCCTGGTATAAACTTTTGTGTGCATGCACACTTATCTGAAGAAGAAAGCCAGTTTGGTGTAATGCTTAGGAGCATGGACTCTAATCTGGGAGAAACGAGTTTGATTCCCCACTCCTCCACATGCAGCTGCTGGCGTGACCTTGGGTCAGTCATAAGTTCTTTCAGAGCTGTTCTCTTAAGGGCAATTCTCAAGAGAGCTCTCTGTCCCACCTACCTCACAGGGTGTCTGTTGCGGGGAGGGGATGGGAAAGGGATTATAAGCCACTCTGAGACTCCTTCAGGTAGTGAAGGGTGGGGTATAAATCCAACCTCTTCTTCTCTTCCTCTGTAAACCACTACCTAAACAACTGCACTGCAGAATTTTTGATTATCTAGTCAAAGTCTGTGCCCAGTATTCCAGCCCATTCCAGAGTTATCAAGAAACGCAAGCCAAGATCGGGCTAGGGAGGTGAAGATACGGGGATATGCAAATCAGGCCTGAGTTCCAATTACCCAGAGTCAAGGAGAAGGTTCCCCTGCACATCCTTTAGTTTTCCCTTTACTAGTAAATGGCTGACTCCACTCTGGTCCTCATATGGATAAAAAAAAGCCACACAAGGCCACCCCCAGACAAAACAGGTACTCCTGTAGACATGAGGGAACTTCCCCAGATACTCGGGGAAAAACTGGACTAACTGTAAGGGGGAGAAAAGACTGCCTGTTGAAATCCAAACAGGCTGTAAGGAATTCTGAGGACAGATGCGTGTCCGATATGGGAGGGAAAGACAAGGCCTGAGTGTAGGCTTACTAGGTGCCTGCGAATGGTGGGCAAACTCTTGGAAGTTATTGCTGATGCTGATCTGGTAGGCACGCAGCAGGCCAGCAAAACGGGGTGGTGGTGGTGGTGGTGCAATCAGGAGTCCGTGTGACCGGGTTCCAAGAGTGTTACCCTGCAGACACAGAATTATTCAAGTGGATTTTTGGACCTTGAGAAGTGAAGGGAGAACTGGAATGTGGCAGAAGACACAGGGCTGCTGCTTAAAACAGCCCCCTTGTGTTTGCTTCCCTCCCCGCTTTCACCTACTGAAATTCACCACTTGAATCATCACACGTGAGTTTTCCCGGTGCTTGTCGTATGTTGTTGGCTGTGGCTCACAGGGAAACATACAGGGCTATTTTTGGGCAGGAACACACAGGAACGGAGTTCCGGCTGGCTCCCAAGTTGGCCACACCCAGCAGGAACTCATTAGCATAATAGGCCACACCCAACAGCAGGAACTCATCAGGATTGGCTACTTTAGGGGTGTGTAGCCTAACATGCAAAGGAGTTCCTGCTACAAAAAAGCCCTGGGTTTGGACAACAAAGAAGGTAAACAGAATAAGAAGCAAAAGGTGGGTGTGGCTGGATGAGCACACTTCTGGTAACATGGGGGTGTGGCCTAATATGCCAATGAGCTGTGCTGTCAGGGGTGTGGCCTAATATGCTAATGAGTTTCTGCTGTGGGGTGTGGCCTATTATGCTAATGAGTTCCTGCTGGGCTTTTTCTACAAAAAAGGCCCTGGAAACATACATCATCATGATGACGTGTCCCTCAGTGAGCATAGCACGAGGGAAATGCAGAGAAAAAACACACGGAGATACTGATTTTCTGCGGCAGCCCCGTGCCTTCTGGCACGGCTGTTTCATCCTCGCCCTGCCGCTTTGCAGAACTTGAGTTGCTTCTTCTTCCAGGATGTGGAGCCTGTGAATGTGTTTCTTTTTTCCTTCCCACACACAGATGCAAGATCCCCCACACTGGAGTTTGATACTTTGCACCCCAGGTTGACGTTGTCCGAGGACCTTCTTTCCATAAGCTACTTCTGGAGGAGGAGGTTTTATGCCTCAAATCCACAGAGGTTTGACAGCCTCTGGCAGGTTTTGAGCAGAGATTCTTTCTGCGCCGGGAGTCATTACTGGGAGGTGGATTTGCTCCAAGCTGGCCAAGGATGGTGGATCGGGGCCGCTTACCCTTCCATCAAGAGAAAAGGAGACTCCGAACTTTGCCGGCTGGGCTGGAACCGCGAATCCTGGTGTATCAAAAGGTTTGATTTTGAATACTGGGCATTCCACAATGGGGAAAAAATCCCAATACAAACAGAAAACGATCCAGAACGAGTTGGCGTTTTTCTGGATTACGAAGCCGGGCTCCTGTCTTTCTATAATGTGACATTCGGGATGGCACACCTGCACACCTTCCGCTCCAAGTTCACTGAGCCAGTTCGTCCAGCACTGAGGTTGTGGGAAGGGACTATAACCATCCGTAAGCTATCCTGAGCACCGATGGTGCTGTAACATGGCACAGCTTCATATTTCTTACTGGGATGTAAGAATAGCTACATCCCTTATAACTACTGCACTAAGCACCTTGGATTTCCAAAATGACAGAGTGACAGAACAGCTATTTGAAAATATAATCCTGGATCACTTCCTAGGCAGCAAGAGGTCCCAGAAAGATTGCCGTACCACAGTTGCATTTCAAGCACAGAATTTTATATTGGAACATCACTTTCTTTTCTTCAAAAGAAGAGCCAGTTTGGTGTAGTGGTTAAGTGCGCGGACTCTAATCTGGGAGAACCGGGTTTGATTCCCCACTCCTCCACTTGCACCTGCTGATGTGACCTTGGGTCAGTCACAAGCTCCGGCACAGCTGTCCTTGAAAAAGAGCAGTTTGTGTCAGAGTTCTCTCAGCCCCACCCACCTCACAGGGTGTCTGTTGTGGGGAGGGGAAGGGAAAAGGAGTTTGTAAGCCGCTCTGAGACTCCAAGTGAAGGGCGGGGTATAAATCCAATCTCCTCTTCTTCTTCTTCAAAACAAGTTTCTAGTCCTAGCATGGACAATGGTGAGAACGACAGCAATGATTGATTCACAGAAAGCCAACCAAATGTGGCTTTGAGCCTACTGTGTGGTCTTGCTTCACCACCACCACAGCCATTCTGAATTGTCGAATCCTTTGGGACCTTTTCTATTCTGATCTCCACCAGACTGTGATGATTTGCAAGACAACTTGCAGTTCAAATTGCTTGTATTCATTTCTAGCTTTGGCTCCCTGTTAAACATAGCTGCTAATGTTCCCGAGGCTTTCACTGAAGGTCTTATCTTGATGGTTATTTTTCAGCTTGTTTTGTCCAAGGATGTGGACAGAATCCTTTGGAGAAGTAGAGGACAGCACCCGTTCCCAACCCTCAGCCTTAATGGTAACTGAAAGCTGTCAGGAAAAGGGTGAATAGAGATGGGTTGCATGGATCAGTAATGCCTTTAGTGCCTTTCTTTCTTTCTTTTTTTTAAAACAGAAGGGGGTCTCTTCCATCATCCTGTGAGGTGTTGCGGGGCAGGTTCAGATCTGTCCTTGGCCATGAAAATCAGTGGGTGACCACAGGCCAGTCATACCCTCTCTCTGCCGAACTCGCCCTCGCAGGGCTGTTGTGAGGATCAAACAAGGGATCAAACAATCTCTGTTGCGCTGAGCTTCTTGGAGGAAGGTCCGTGTACAGAGGTGCAAGGTACAAAAAAAACCCAGGCACTCCTTGTGGGATTTGTGTCCCTGCCACCTGTGTAAGATCTTCTGTTCTTGGGCAAAATGCTCAAAAGTGAAGGTGGCACGACTTCAGGGTTTGCTGCGCGTGTATGATTTAACGTGATGATTGTCTGGCAGGGGGAAGGAATCTGATCTCTTAACCTTCCTGTTATATTTGTATCATTATTTTTTTTAAACAGAAGGGCTTGCTGCGTATTTGTTCTGTGCTGGTAAAGGGGGACCCAAATCTCCATTGCTGTGGATCTGCTGTAAGACAGGACCAAGATGGGGGCACAGCCACAACAGCTGCCCTGCAACAGAAGTGACTTTGCCAGGCACAATTTTGAAATGTTTGCCTTAGAATAATGACTTACTGGGGGGAGGGGTTTGTAACCAGTGATTTGCCCTATGGTTAATAGCAGTGTGCAAAAGCAAGCTCTCTAATTGCCAGGAGCCAAGAAGGGGATTGTGGGAAAGAAGGGTGCTAAAGTCACAGTAATCCATTGTGGGCATTGACAGCAGCAGGGAGAAGGTCAAATGAGAGACCAGGTACATCATCTGAAATGGTTCTCTTTGAAGCACACAGTCTTCAACTAGGAGATGTTATTAAGGGGGGACTTGTTCTTGGAAAGTGATGGCTCTTTCTAGTTTGTGTTTTAAAAATCAAAATAAAATGTTAAAATAGCAGTACATAAAACAGTTACACAGTAGTTGCACAACTACACAGTAGTTAAAAAAACGCAGTGTGGAAAACACTGTTCCTATAAAGGTGGTGGTCAGCAGGATCTTTTACAGCCAGAGGACTTCCTTCAATGTTGTTTGGGGTTATAGTGCCACACCCTTTACCAAACATAGCATCTTACCAGTCAAAACACAAGGACCCTTGGTCAAGACTCTGACAACTCATTCCCACTGTGAACCAGTCCCTGGAATGGAGGACACACTGGAAGAGGCAGCTATGTCTGATAACTTTAATTGAAAACTGAATTTTAAAAATCCACCAACCATTATTTTGCAGTCATTTTTTAAAGGCAGAAGTACTACATAACAGCCAATCATCAGCCACACAATCAAAAATATAAGGGAAGGAGAGAGAAAGGATCAGGATCGCGCTTGTTCCCCCACCAAGGGCTTATGCGAGTGTGATGACCGGGGGAAGGGGGGGGCGCTCAGGCCTGCCACTGTGAGCCCAGTGCCCCTTTCTTGCCTACCGGGTTCGGTTTAAAAACAGGTAAACCACAAGTGAGAAGGACAGTCTTCTTGGGCCCTCTCTTCCCACTATAAGCACATGGCATTGTCGTCATCGAGGCCTCCAAGACACCTGCCTCGGAGCACACCCACTAGAAAGGCGGAGGTCTGTTCCTAGAAATCCAGATGGTTCCAACCATATCACATATAATCATCTCAAAATTGTAAGCATCTTTCTTTAGGGCTCGCTCTTACGCATGATGCTCGGACTTCCAAGACTATCGCATTGGTACCTGCAGGCATGCACCACAGTGGTAGGCAGCTGTTCCCCCAAGGCCAGTTCAGAGTGGGGGAAACGGTACAAGAGTGGGAAGACTTGGAATTTAATTCTTTTAACACTACTGTTTATATGCAGAATCTGATTTTTTTTTTTGCCAACGGAAGGGTCTCCGTGTGAGAGGCTCGCTGGCATAGCCTTGCCAGTGGTGGCACACCGGCCCTGTTTCTCAAGAGCTGAGCTCAATATGGCAGCCACAGTATATGCCCCCTGACCCCAAATCCCTTCCCTAATTGCTTAAGCAGCCTTGTGATTAATTGATACCAGCTTTAATCCTACCACTCCTCTCAGCAGAAATTCGGAACTTTCCTCCACCCTGAGTGGCTCCTTAGGCTTCAGAAAGGCTTTGAACTCTGCCAAGCAGCCGTACAGACAAAGTTACCTATCTCAAGCGACAATAAACGTCCCATGAAATAACACAGTCGACTGTGGAACATGATGACAGCCATTTAAAAGCATGTTGTTTCCACACACACACACACACACACATCTGATAGGAAGAAGGCCTGGAAACAATAGTTTGGGCACAGAGGAGGTTATTCAACAGCGGTGCAGCTAGCTGCTCAGGTATCCCAGTTGGCACATCAAACACCCGCTTGTGCTGAATTCTCAGTACTAGATGGGAGAAACAGACCACACAATGGCCTACATAAATACAAAGTGCTCTACTACTGTCAACGTTCACAGTTTCCGCTCATCCCGCCCACACTAAAATACCTTCTCCAAAGCTCCATGCTGCCCTTTGGAAAACACCCCCTGGACATGCTTTAACAAGGTCCTTCAGCAAGAAGACCTGAAGGTACTCCACATGTACTAGACTGCTCCGTCTCTATTAAGAGCCTCTGCTGCAAATGACAAGAGGTGCTGTGCTTGCATTTTTGTTCATCCAAAAGAAAAACCCCTTGAAGATTTGCATCCCCAAAGACCCTTCCATTCAGTTGTTCTAGCATACAATTCTACGATATCAGCGTATTGCCATAGCAAATCACACAAACACTTTCCATTTTTAACATTTCACTTTTTTCACATGATTTTCAATGGCGTCCTCGGTGACAGTTTCATCTTCACCGATGTTGATCTTGACCTTCTTGCCCACCAAGTTGAAGATGTCTTCTGGGAGATATCCTTTGGGTTCCCCCACCTTGACCGTGAGCATGTCCAGGGTCAGCACGGTGCCTTCCGGAATCCTCACTTTTGCAACAACGCTCTTTCCTAGCTGCAGAAAGACAGATGGGAGGAGCTTAAGTCATGTACAGGTAAACCTATGGTATGAGTGACATCAAAGAAGGAGCAACAGTACTGGAGCACACCTGTACAGGAAGCGGGCTTATGGGTTTACATTTGGTATAGAGGGCAAGACTATACTTCCAAATGCCTCTCTTGTACCATGCTGCTGTTGGCTCAGTGGTCCAGGCACGATGCCACTTCCTGCAATGGGACTGCATAAGTAATGTACTGTCCACTAGAGTGGCACTATCTAGTATTTTAGACCGGTACACCCACTAAAGAGGTGCTGCCACCTGCCACTGTGTTAGGTCAATGGAATAAAGCCAACTTTTATAGCTGAAGAGACAAACTGTGCCAAAGTTCAGAGCAAGAGATCAAAGAGACCATTTGTATAACTGAAAATACACAATTTACATTACTGATTCTTAACACGTTGATTAGCAATCCATAAGGTTTCTGCAGCCCAAACACTGGTTGTTCCAAGTCCTTTATTAAGAAGTGCCAGTTGAGAGCCAGCATGGTGTAGTGGTCGGAGTCTAGGGCTTGGATCTGGGAGACCCAGGTTCTCTGCTATGGAAGCTCACCTTGGGCCAGTCACACTCCCAATGTAACCGAACATAGTCGTTGTGAGCATAAAACAGAGGATAGGAGAACAATGTTAAGACAACTTTGGGTCCCCTGGTCTCATAGTATGTGCACAAGAGTGCCCTGGGTGACTGTTTTAGTGCACTGGCATAAATCTATGCATGGCTGGAACGTGGGTAACGGAACTCTCCACCTCTGTCCTTTCCCTTTATGTAAAGGGTCTCTCAGCCTATTATCCTGTAATAATCACTGCCTGCTGTTCCCTTTGCATACTGTTATTCTACAATCTATCCTTCCAATGCAACTTATCAAAGTGCTCATCTTCTTTTGTTAAAGGGCCGTATTTGGTTCCATACTGAGCCATGTTCAGCTCTGAAGCTACAGACTTGTAGACTAAAGGCACAGAAAAAGAGGACCAGAAAATACATTCTTTAGGGTTTTTTAAAAGTCTATTACAGTTCTGATATGTTCCTTATAAACAAGGAATGACGAAGCCAAGCATGAAGATGGCCTTTTCTGTTAAGATCAAGTTCCTGCACTGCTTTCAATATGGCAAAAAGGCATCTAGAATGAGGTTTGGGAAATGTCATCTGCTAACTTGATGAAAAGACAGAGGAATTAGCTACCACGTTTTAATTGGTTGAGGGCCCCAACAAAACTGTAGTGGATTCATCAATGGCCAGTCCACCTACTAACAAAATTATGGGCTGGACCAGTGTTCCCTCTAAGCTGAGTTAGTGTGAGCTAGCTCACAGTTTTTTAGCCTCCAGCTCACACATTTTTGTCTTAGCTCAGGAAGGATGGGGCTCCAGAGCCAACTGATTTATGCAGTAGCCAAATCGCTCGCTCACAACTTTAATGCTAGTCGCTCACAAAGTAAAATTTTTGCTCACAAGACTCCACCACTTAGAGGGAACACTGGGCTGGACCCATCTAGCTGTTCCACTGTTGAAAAAGGGAGAAGGGAAACCCTTTGACCATCCAAAACATCTGCTAAGCTGGGGATCATGGAGCCTGCACTGACAAATGCCATGTGGAACACAGGCTGTAGTGAGGAGCAGAAGACCAAGTAGGGAAAAAATTGCTTGTTCCAACCCTACACATGTTAGCAGGCATGCGGTAAAAGACGGCCCCAGTTGCCTTATTATGATCTTGGCATGAAAACCAAGACAGAAGCCGAATAGGTGATCTTGGCGGCAACTCAGGAATAGTTACCTTTTCATTACACGCCACTTCACAGGGCAAGAGACGCTTGATGGGAGACCCCATGGCCTTCTCCACCATCCGGATACTTCTGACCAGTTCCGCCAACTCGTTTGCCTCCAGGGATGCCTGATGGTCACTTCCTTTCCAAGTCTTGTCCAGTGTGATGTGGCGCTCCAGTACTTTGGCTCCCATCGCAACCGCCGCGATAGAAACGGCTATCCCCGTCTCATGACCGGAATAGCCAACAGGAATATCTGGGAACGCAGACCTATAGGCCTGTAGGGAGGGAAAAGCTGATGTAAAAAGACCACTTTCGCAGAGGACAATTACCCAAGCAAAGGCCATTTTCAAGATAACAAACAAGATACCGATGTCACAACCCAGCAGGCTTAGGTGCGCTTAAGCACACACACCCCAAACAGCAACAGGCTTAAGCTGTGCTCGACTGGGACCTCTGAGTATAGTTGTAAGTAATGCTGAACAGCCCTCGACACGTTATCATGCTGAGTGGCATCAGAATCAAGAGGAGGCATCTAAGGACAATGGCCTCATTGCTGCTGGTGTTGTCCACCCCACCCCATTCACTGACCGCTATGACCCGAAGGTTGACGTCTTCGGGCTCAAGAGGGTACGCACTGGTGCACTGGAGGAAACAGAAGTTTGGGTTGATGGGCTTCACCAGCTGGTAGACTTGCTGCATCGTGCTCATTGACTGCATCCCGCTGGAAATCACCATTGGGCGACCTGGGTAGGGAGGTCACAGAGATCCTTTTTGAAAGTCTAATTTGGCTCTGCAATGTTCTGTGATTGCATTAGCCCACTAACTGATCAAATACCCATCAACTAGTTGTCCATTAGCAACTTGGATGAACCTGTACCAACTTGTTCAGCCACAGCCCAACAAATGCTGCAAACAGCAACAGGCTTAAGCTGTGCTCGACTGGGACCTCTGAGTATAGTTGTAAGTAATGCTGAACAGCCCTTGACACGTTATCATGCTGAGTGGCATCAGAATCAAGAGGAGGCATCTAAGGACAATGGCCTCATTGCTGCTGGTGTTGTCCACCCCACCCCATTCACTGACCGCTATGACCCGAAGGTTGACGTCTTCGGGCTCAAGAGGGTACGCACTGGTGCACTGGAGGAAACAGAAGTTTGGGTTGATGGGCTTCACCAGCTGGTAGACTTGCTGCATCGTGCTCATTGACTGCATCCCGCTGGAAATCACCATTGGGCGACCTGGGTAGGGAGGTCACAGAGATCCTTTTTGAAAGTCTAATTTGGCTCTGCAATGTTCTGTGATTGCATTAGCCCACTAACTGATCAAATACCCATCAACTAGTTGTCCATTAGCAACTTGGATGAACCTGTACCAACTTGTTCAGCCACAGCCCAACAAATGCTGTAGTTCCAGCAGGCACCTAAACTCTCAGGTCAACTGCAACAAGAGTTGTCTGTCTGTCATATGACTCACAGTACCCTTTGTAGTCAGGGGCCGGCATATCTGTTAAGTACACTTCTGTATATCCACCTCCAGATCTCTGAGATCAGCAGTGGAGAGATCCCTTTGCTAAAACGTGTACGTTCTATGAAGGGTCATGGTAGGGCAGCCTCAGTGGCGGCACCAAGCTTTGGGAATTTCTTTGATACGCGACTAAAAGAAAGTTGGGTTTTTTTTATTTAATTCAGAAATTTTGTCATATTGAGGCGTTTACTTTCCCGATTTTGTTGTGGTTTCAAGGAGTGGCCCAGTTCTCATTTTAAATAAGATTTAGTATTTTAGTTGTTGCAATAATTCCTCCGTGACTGCTGTGTTGTAAGACACTCTGAATTCTGTTAAAATTTAGGAGTAAAATATTCAGGTCACTTGTATCCTCCCCCCCTTCCCGGCAGTTCCATGGAACCAATGGAGCTTTAAAGCCAAGGAGACTTGAACATATTTCCAAGTTCCATTCTGCTAGCAAACATTACTTCAAAGTTCATGGTAGCCAAAGCCAATGAGTACTCTTTGTTTATATATTTATACCCCTTACCTGGATAGCCCAGGCTAGCCCGATCCCATCAGATCTCGGAAGCTAATCAGGGCTGGCCTTGGCTAGTATTTGGAAGGGCAACCTCCAGTGAATACCAAAGACACGAGGCAGAGGGCAGGCAATGGCAAACCATCTCTGAAACGTCTCTTGGCTTAAAAACAAGTCTAGCTCACCACCTAGTGGTGCATAACGCTAAAAAAGCTGTCATCAATGTGCAGACGATACGCAACTACGTATATCCTTATCTAAATCTCCTGATGATGCAGCAGAGGTCCTAAACTGCTGCCCTGCTGCTGCGGTTAGACGGTTAAGAGTGAAGAAATTGAAACTAAGCCCTGGAAAGACTGAAGCAATGCTGGCTGGGAAGGTGGAGGTCTTGAAGGACATTGTGCTCCCCACTTCTGATAGAGTTCAGCTGACCCCTGCTGACTCTGTTAAGAGTCTTGAGGGTATACTGAATCCAAGCATTATTACTGGAGAAGCAAGTTAATACAATTGTAAAAAAGGCTCTCTTCCAATTCAGCCTAGCTCAAAAAACGGCCCCCCTGGATCCATGTCACTGTGACACGGAGACTAGACTACTGTAATGCACCGTGCACTGATCTCTCTTTGGAACCAATTTGGAAACTCCAGCTGGTGCAGAATCCCACAAGCTCAGCTATTATCCGGAGTCAGAAGAAGCATGCACATTACTCCCATTCTGCAGTCACTCCACTGGCTGCCCATCAGTTACTGGGTGAACTTTAAGGGATTACCCATCACATTCAAAGCCCTTCCTGGGCTTGGACCCTCATATCTGCCACAATGCCGTTGCTCATCTGTGCAAGGCCGTCAGCACGTGCCAACCTGCAAATGGGCAAAATCAACAACTGCCCGTACACAGGCCTTCTCCATTGTGGCCCCCACCTTACGAGATGGCCTGCTCAAGGAGGTCAGGAAGGCTCCCAACTCGCCTGGCTTTCCCACAAATGATGCAAAACTGAATTCAAAAGAGCTTTTCAATGCAGGCATAAGGGTAGCCCTGTACTCACAAACTTCACAAAGTTACTTGGACAAATGAATGGGGACTGTGGTCTGTACTACTGTGTAGAGTTTGCTGTGGGTTGGATCCCATTGTTTAATTTTTGCATAATTTAATGTGTCCCTTTAACACTTATCCTTTGCTTCAGTTGTTTTTCAGACTGCTGGTTGGTTCTACAACACAAATCCTATTTCATTGTGCACTGAATGTCCCTGTATTCACTCTGTGTAATCTACCTTGAGTCCCAATGAGAAAGGCGGACTATCAATCAATGGGTGCGTTCAGACGGGGGCTTTACATCGGTATAGGTGCCGGTTGCAATCGTTGTACTCACCGGCGTTCAGACGGGGAACATCTGCCTCCTCTCCCTCTGCCACTAGGTCCCAAGTGGTGGTATCCTGAGTGCAACGGTTGTAAACGCTGTACCTCGCCGTCTGATCGCCTAGCCATTTCCGTCGGAAGCCTGAGGCTTCCGTTTTTCCCCCGCCATTTTTTTTTTAAACTGAGCGATATGCACTTGGGCGAAGCTTTGCCCTGAGCGTTTGTTTAAAAAAAAAACAAAAAAAACCCTTACTTTAACTATCTGGAGGAGTCCGGGACTTAAGGGAGGCCAGTTTGGGCTTTAAACTTTAAAGGTAAGTCCTTACCTTTAAAGTTTAAATGTAATGGGGGGGGGGTTCGAGCATGCACAAAGATCGCCATTCTGTGAATGGCTGCCTATGCGCTTGCTCAAACTGTGTTTAAAACAAAAACAAAAATGCCGACGCCCTCAGCGTGTGACCGGGCATACAACGATGGGATCCGCAAAATGGAGGTAAGTATGATCGCGTTTCTGCCGGCAGAAAGGCCCCATCTGAACGCACCCAATCAGTCATTAAGTGCGGACTCGCAGAGGTTCCCAAACTTATTTGACCTACTGCCCCCTTTTCAGAAAAAACTCCTCAGCGCACCCCTGGAAATCTACCTTCAAGAAGTGGACAAAAAGATGTAGGGACAAATTTGTACCCAAGGCTCCTACCACCCACCTGGATCGTTCCAGCACCCCCCAGGGGGCGGTATTGCCCACTTTGGGAACCAGTGGTGTAGAGCACTGAAGAAGAAGAGTTGGTTTTTACACCCCACTTTTCTCTACCCAAAGGAGTCTCAGAGTGGCTTACAATCACCTTCCCTTCCTCTCCCCACAACAGGCACCCTGTGAGGTAGGTGGGGCTGAGAGAGCTCTGGGAAAACTGTGACTGACCCCAGGTCACCCAGCTGGCTGCATGTGGAGGCGTGGGGAATCAAACCCGGTCCTCCCAGATTAGAGTCTGCCACTCTTAACCCCTACACCACACTGGCTCTCAGTGAGGGGAAGGCTGTGATATCACTTCTTCAGACAAATGTGATGTGAGACAAAATGGGAGAGAGGAGAGAGAGAGACTGGAATTTGGGATGACAGTTGATACCTCTGCTGTCCAGTCTAGGCTGCCTCCAATACAGTCCTCGGTGCTTACTTTTCCTTCCCCGAGGCACCAAGCAAAAACTGCTTTTTTATCCAGGCATTAAGTAAGAGGTTCAATCATTTAAAGCAGCATCTAGCCTGAAGACTGCTTAGATAGATATCATTTTAAGCAGCTGAGTGTGCTGCTTTTATGCGTTTTATGATTTGCTTGAAGTATTGATGACTTTTACGTTGTAGCTTTTGATCGTGTGGCCATATTGTTTTATTTTGTGAGCTGCCTCCAGCAGATCTCTGGAGAGGCAGTAGATAAATTTTCTAACTAAATGTTTCTTCCTGGGAAGGGTACCATGCCAACCAAACCCATTTTTCACCAGATTATTTGCCAGGGGCAACCAGAGTGACGAACATCTCACTACCCTTCTTCATATCACTCAAGAAAAACAAACTTACCTTTTTTTGCTGTCTTTTCCAAGTAGGGGAAATTGTTTGTGTCTCCTGATCCTACTTTAAAAAATGGAACATCTAGTTCATGCAGGAATTCCACAGCCATCTAGAGAGAGAGAGAGAGAGAGAGATTTTTTTTTAAAAAACAAAACCCTAACACTGACAATCACAACTGTGAAAGTCAACCCCCTTTCATTAAGGGGTTCAGGAACTCCCATTTGTGTTCCTCACTAGGTGATTCAGCCGGTCAGAACGTGGGCGAAACAGAGATGGTGGTAGTCCCAACAGTGAGGAAGCAGATGTTCTGAGGAAGCTCTCTCTAGAGATCCAGTGGTCATACTAGAACAGAGACGCTGTATCCCCACCAGACAGTCGCCTCACTTCACAATTAGCGGCTTCTTTTCAAACACCCTCCAAACCCGCTTCGCACTTACCTCATCCATGCCAGAGGCGGTGAAAAAAATGCCAATCTCCTTGGCGTAGCGCTGCAGCTCCCTGTACTGGTCATGGCTGAACTCCAGGTGGCGCTTGTGCTCTCCGTACGTTTCCCCCCACGAGTGTTTGGACGTGTAGGGCCTCTCCAAGGCTCTCTTGTTGAACTTGTGCTCCAGTTCGCTTTTCTGGAACTTGGCACAATCTGCTCCACACTCCTGTTGAGACACAACCGTCACACAAGGCTAAGGCCAACAAACAGAACACTGCACACAAAGAAGCAGGCAGCTGGATCAGTCCATCGCAAAATCCAAAACGGATGTAACGCCTTTCATTCAGCCCAACCAAAGAACACGACAAGCTTTTGGGTTCTCCAGAACTCTTCATCAGGCCTTAATACCATGCTCTGAAAGAAGGGTTTCTCTTCCCCCATCCCTTTGTGTTTTTAATATCAAAAGCTTGCACACTGTGTTGTGTTACTTGAATTACTCTGTGCGCTACTTGGATTACTCTGCATAAAGTGTACTATGTCGCTTTCGACACCTCACCCCCACTTGAATTTACTACACCAAGATGAGGGATGAAAAGTCCCATGACACCTTAAAGATTAGCACATTTGTTGAGTGCCAAGCTTTTGCAGGCCAGAGCCCACCACTTCATCAGAGGCATCACCCAAAACGTATAACCACAGAAACAAGAGACAGTGCAGGAGAGAGTTCCTCTTTCCATGTGTCCCGTGCAACCCAGCCCACAAATGAGTTAAAGCCATCAGTGGTATCAACCTCTAAAGACAATCCACTGAACTTGCAGCCCAGAGTTGCTTATTTACTACATTTGCACAGGGTTTAGCAGTTAGAGTGTCAACTGAAGACCGGCAAGTTACAGGTTCGAGTCTCGTTGAAGCTAGGAAGCTCACCAGGTGACCTCGGGCCAGTCACAGTCTCAGCTCCCTAACAGGAGAGAGCCAGTTTGGTGCAGTGGTTAAGAGCTGCAGACTCTAGTCTGGAGAACCGGGTTTGATTCCCCACTCCTCCACTTGAAGCCAGCTGGGTGACCTTGGGTCAGTCACAGTTCTCTCAGCCCAAAAACCTAGCTCACCACAAAGAACAGCTGGAATTCCAGGTTGCCAGACAACCTTGGATCTCTTGGCTATACTACAATGGGGGTGTGGAGCGGGAGGTATTTGTGAACTCCCTGCATTGTGCAGGGGATTGGATTAAATGACCCTGGAGGTCCCTTCCAACTCTATTATTCGACGACCACTGCCATACCACAATTACTTAATTAATTTCCCTAACAGGTTGTTGCAAGGATAAAATGAGCAGGGAGTATGTAAGGGGAGTAAGCTAAAAATGTATAAACATACATTAGGTCAGCCACCTCCTGGCCACAAAAGGATACAAAATTAATTACAGGGAAAGGACGGGGAGGGCGAGGGGAACGGGCTCCCCCAACGACACTGCAAAAATCACAGCCCCGTAAATGAATATGGGACACAGCCTGAGACCGAGACCCCCTGCTCTAACCGAAAGCTCCCCGGGATCCATTCATTCACCCACCCAAACCCCGAGGCAAGTAAAAAGGACAAACACATCCCGCCATTCCCCACCCGATTCTGACCATCGCCGCGCTTAGATAGGAAACCCCACCTTGGCCACGCGAATCATCCGCTTGGCGATCTCGAGGTCTCCCTGGTGGTTCTGCCCAATCTCGGCGATAATAAAGCAAGGGTGGTCCCCGCCGATCAGCCGGCCCGGGCACAATTCGAACTCCAACGGCATCGCGGACGAAGGTTAGAAGATTGACCCGGTGGGGAGGAGAGAAGAAAGGCAAAAAACAAAACAAAACCCGGAAGCAGCGAGTGCGAACCAAACCAGACCGCTCTCACGGCAGTCGCCTCTAGACACACGCCTTTCCCTTCGCGCATGCGCGCGAAGAGCGTGCCGACGAGCCTTTTGGACGGCACCGTCATTCCTTCCCTCCATCCACCGATGAAGCTGAGGGCTCAATTTGGCCAATCGAAGAGAGGCTAGCGGGATCAGGTGGCCAATCAACGTCCGATCTGTCGCAGAGTGCCAGGCCAGGAGGTGGCGCTCACGCTCTAAGGTCAGCCCTAGGCCGCCGGGAAAGAGAACCTAAAAATTGGCCCTGCGGGGCGTTTACTGCGGAGCGTTCTAGAGGTGACGCCCAGACTAGTTTTACTTCTTAAGACGTCGTTTGCCGAATATCGTCGTGTGATTTTAAGCAACGTGGCAGGGAATTTGCGTGCATTTCCCCCCCCTTAGCTGTAAAGCCAACAATAGCTTATTGTGAAAGAAGGAAGCGGAAGCTCAACAAAATCTTTTACTTCTTAATAGGTATGCTCTGAGGCAGAGAGGATTGCTAGCCAGATGCACTCTTCCTGTACATAAAAAAAAAATCTATGGCACCGTTGGCACGTTAACAAAATGGTATTCCAGCAAAGCTTTCCTGTCCTGGAGTCCAATGGTAATAATAATGAGAAGGTGACCATCGTGCTAGTTGTCACTGGAGCAGTGTCTAGAAGTCTCACAAAACACCTGGACATTCTGGGCACCAAGTAAATAACACCAGCTCAGCTTGGAACATCAAGAATCCTGCGGAGACACCCCTGCAATTCGCAAGAACTTGGCTAGGTCTGGAATTGCAGAACACCATCTACCAGTCAACTATCTGACTGTGACCATTCTTAACATAATAATAAAGTGCCCTCAAGTCGCAACAGACCTAGGGCAACCCCTCATGGGTTTTGGCAAGGACAGACCTAGGGCAACCCCTCATGGGTTTTTCCATGGCAAGGCAAGAGATGAACAGAGGTGGTTTGCTAATAGCCAGAATCTGCTGTAGACTGTTGGGCCACTGGACTAAAATGCCCGCTGTGGATCTTTCTAAGAGCAATGAACTGTGTCATCAGAAAAGAATTTATAGACTCTATCCTCTCCCTATTGCTATACTGTGCCGGGACCCTGGGAAATGGTTTTTCAGAATGTCATCTTGTTTTAAGGGGTAGTGATTTGATAGTATTAGAGTTGGGTTTTATTGTTGTGAGTTTTATATGTTGTAACCTGCCCTGAGCCTGCATGCAGGAAGGGTGGGATATAAATAAATAAAGGTATAGCGACCCTGGTCTTCCTCGGTGAGAGAGAGCCCACTTACTCAACGGCAGTGATACCATCCCAAGAGGTCGTCTGTCGTCTGCAAAAGCTTGTGCTGAATGGGCCATTATGATCCCCAGAAAAAGTCCCAGTGGGCCGGCAGCTTTAGGAAGAAGGGCTGCATCTCCTTCAGCCTCCACACCTCGGTTCACCCAGCTGCAGAGTAGTGGAAAGGAGACCTGTCAGGCCGCTGATTGATGACTACAAGCAGCAGCCAGACAAAGGGATGCTGCTGCCCAGTCCATCCTGGGGAAACTACATGCTGGGCCACCCTGAGCCCCACCTGGGCAATTTGTGTGGTGGCCACTTCCAGACCCAGATAAACAAATATAAGGTCAACAGTCGTGTTAGTCTGACCCACAATCAACAGTCATACGACTTATAAGAATTGCTGTACATGTATTGTGCTCTGAAGCATTACAATATGATACACAACTTAATAGAATTTATAAACCAAGGTACAACGTCGTCTCCGGATTATTTACCAACGTTTCAAAAAATGAATCTTCAGGAAATTTTCTGTAGTACACAAACATGCCATTTTTAGAATATGTATAACACCAATCACAAGAAACAAGAGACAATACAATAATCTTATTGCTGACTTACATAGAGGTGCCAAAGCTCTCATTTTCATAAAAGCTAGACAACAAGTATTAAGCATCTGCAACATAATAATTTTATCTTTGTTATGAACACATATAAGATAGTTCAAAATATTTCAAATTACAACTAATCAGCCTAGTAATAACTCACATCACGATTCAGATAGGACGCTGATCTCAATTAACACGCAGTATTGTTTTTTTTCTGGATCCTAGGCATCTCTCTCTGGTGCATGTTACCAGAGGGCAATTAAAATGTGTGTGTGAAAAAATTTATATTGGGTCTCCTTCTAGACCTATCAGAACAAGAATTACAGAGCATAAATCCAAACTGAAGGCTCAGAACCTGGATACCCCATTAGCAATTCACTTTAAACAGCTTAATCATTGTTATGATAGCTTTCAATATGTTGTATTAGAAATTGTACAGAGAACTCCTGGAGAAAGGACTGACTTAAGAAGACGCCTCTTACAGCGAGAGATGTTTTGGATTTACCGGTTGAACAGTGTATTTCCTAATGGACTGAATGCAGAAATTGACCTTTCATGTTTTTTGTCAATCATATGATGTTTTTTGTAAACTATATTATGTTTGTGTAAACTACATGAGGTTTTCTTTAAAGTGTACTGCCTCCCACTACCCACCACCTGTTAGCAATTTGCAAGGTCCCTTTAATTGGAGACGACGTTGTACCTTGGTTTATAAGTTCTATTAAGTTGTGTGTCATATTGTAATGCCAGCTGAATCATCTTTTTTTATGGTGTGTTTCATGGAGAAATCTATATATCTGGGCATTTGGGAATGGAGGAGAGCAAAGATTGCAGGTTTAGTTCATCATTTCCCTGCCTATATACACAAAAGAGATGCCAAAAATATGTAAATGTTTTAATTGCTTTTTATTAAACTTTTTACTGAGCTATAAAACAAAAGCCAAATGTTTCCTGTTCCCCTCCTTCACCAAGGGAACGCCTTCTAATTCCCATTCCCACAGTCCACCCTACTTGCAGCTTACTTCCAGTTGTGACTAGTCACTAAATGTTAGGTATTTGGATACATACCATGTTATATATCCCAAATCAAAGGTGCAGAGTAAGTGTTTGGAAAAGTGCAGTGCTAGAAGGGGGAATCTACTTCCAAAAACCTGAGAGTCTTTCTCTTGTGATTGAAAAGGAATCCGGTTCGGTTCCATTCCACAAGAGTAGAATAACTGTTCTTTCAAATGGGGAATGCTTGTATTTAAAAACAAACAAACAACCCTTCATTAAAAAAACCCTGCCCATTATCACTAGTCACATATCATTTTAAAAATCCCTATCCAGAGTTGCCGGCTGGTCAGTAAAAAGTCAGTCCGATCTGTTCCTGTGCCTTTAATAACAGCCCGATCTCAGCTAGGGTAGAAAAACTGCATGTCATGGAAAGGAGCATCATCACCAGCTAATACCTGGCAAGATCAGTGCTGGTATGTAAGAGATTAGATAGGAGCCAGGTAAGTAAAAGCAGACAATGCTGCTCCTGGCATTTCAGGGGGGGGAATGTCCCTTTAATAGAGATTTTATATGCAGAACTGGGCACTTGGAACCTTTTCACCTGGTAACTGTTGCAGATTGAACTGATGCTAAAGAGGGACCAATCTAAAAGCTGACAACCTGAGAGTGATAAGAAATGCCTTTACCTGCTAACAATCAGGAGGAAAGGTGGCTTGGGTTAGCCTGATCTCAGAAGCTAAGCAGGGTCGGTATTTGGCTGGGGAATGACCAAGGAAGACTCTGCAGAGAAAGGCAGTGGCAAACCACCTCTGCTCACTTGCCTTGAAAGCCCGTTGTTGGGGTACCATAAGTTGCTTGCGACTTGACGGCACATGTGTATATAGCCAGCTGTCTGTACGTGCATCCATGCGGCTCCCACTACACAATATGTACATAGCCAGCTGTCTGTATGTGTCAGACTCCTGCAACAATCAGAATGACTTGCTTCTTTAGAAAGGAAGTTTATTGATCAGTATTGGCAGAACGTCGCTACTTCAGGAACTATGTTAAGACTGAGCTACAAAGCACGGGGCAAAGGAGGGCACAAGGCAGCCAAGAGCCAATCAAGGCAAAAGCGGGGCCCACCAGAATCTAATGGCTTCAATGCCCCCCCCTTCCCAGCAGATAATGTTACAGGCAAGAACCAAGGTCAAACACATAAGCTATACAGATAAGGGAGCATCACCCAGACAGCAGGAAAGCGAAAGTCACATTCCAAGGAATCCCTTCCCCCACCACAGCTCCTATGGCAGCGAGCTGACAGTATGGCAAGTTGTGGAGGAAAACGTAAGAGCAGAGGCAGTTCTAGTTTTACATTTATCAAATAGAACAGTTCATGTGTTTAATTTCTGCTGCTAATAGTAAAGGGCAATTTTAAAAGTAGTTGGCAGCTTAATGCATGGCTGCCAGAACAGGTTAAAAAGAATGTCTTCGACTCTTTAAAGAAATCATGCAGATATTAAAACCTGAGATGTTCTGAATTTCCAAAAAGTACCCAGAATCAGTCGTGCGCCTGAGAGTTAAATTCACAACCAAAACAACTGATGTTGGACACGAAACTTAGGTGCCAATGGGGGACAGGCCTGTTTGTGTAAGAACCAAGTAGGAGAGGGAATTGGGGCCAGGGTAGCTAAACATGCAGGGGAAAGTAAAGCTGCCAGGGCTGAAAGAACAGGGCTTAATCTTGACATGCCTCTCCTACTGACATAAGATCTGGCTGCTCTTAAAGGTGTAGGAGCAGTTGTGGCATTTCCCCTGGTCAGTTGACAGCCCTGTTTGTGGGACATTCTGTGTTATTACCTGTATTCTACTCTGTGGATTGACATGTTGCTGTGCATAGACTATGTGGCTGGAAGGCAAACATCAAACATGTTTAGTAATTGCCCTATTGTTAAGGGGGACTGTGGCATCCTCTTATTTGGGAGGACTGCTTTTCACTTTATATGTGTTCTTTGCTTTTGTAAACTGGGTAGTTTCTGCTGCCATCAGGAATTTAAGGAGTTCCAAACCTTCTCTCCTCTGCTGCTGGTAATGTGACCCATAGTCTAGGCTTTTCAGGGATCTATGTGGTCCTGAGGAAAGATAGAACTGAATTCTAGGATAAACTTGAACAAAAGATGATTTATTGAAATAAGAACAAAATATGAGGCTGGTTTATCTGTAGCTGTTTGGGAATAAGGGACTTGTAAATATGTCTGGCAAATGTATCACACACTCAGTCCCTCTTTCCTATAGGCAGCCACACAGGCTAAGCTCTTGGTAATTTTGACTTCCTTCCAGATCTTTAGAGTCTCACTTTTTAAGACATATATAGGTAAAGGTTCCCTTGCTCGAAAGCCAGTCGAATCAGACTCTAGGGTTGCGGTGCTCATCTCTAAATTCTTTATTTTCCACACAGACACTGTCAGCTTACTCACTGACTCTGACACCAACTCCAAACTCCAACTGCTTTCTCTAACTGACTTTCATAATTGACTGACATCCACACAGATCCACACAGAACAACTCCTCCCACACTGTCATCCTCCAATCACACCACACTTGTCTCTCTCAATCACTCTACTCTGCATTCACTGCACTGCAACCAAATATTTAAAGAGACACACACACTCTAAAACAAGGAATCATTACAGGGACATTACTGTGACAAGAAAATTAGAACATCTGGAGGATGAATCAGCTGCAAAAGCAACCTCTCTTCCTCCTACAGGATTCTGATTTTGCCTGCGCTGGGCTTCAGGAAGTTAAAGCGCTACCCTGTGTACTTACACACAGAAAGGTGAAAGGAAACAAGTTAATTTAGAAAAAGATACCGCCACTATCCCTGCAGACCCTTATTTGGGAGTACATCCCCTTCATATGAATGGGATGTACTTCCAAGTAAAAATAGATCAGGTTGAGCTGTAAGCGATCGTCTGTATTTAAAAAGTCAAATCAACATGATCAAGAAGTTGAAGCATTTTTTTCTACAAAGAAAGAGCACAGTGTTGGGAGCTTTTGAGTTTAGCAAAACATGACCAATAACAGGGATCTCTGACCTGAGAGGAGGTCTTTCCTAATCACAACATGGTGGCCATGAGGACTGGGGCCAGTCATAAAATGTTGGGAAGTTCCAAGTGAAGCAACCTCCTGTGATAGACATAGCAGTTTCCAAGTGGATGTTCCTTGGAGACAAAAGTAATGTGTTCATAGCTCTTCTGAAACACCTTAAGTTCAGTGAGGTAGAAGAAAGTCAGACTGGGTCGGACTGGGTCTCTGCTTTGAAGAATAAAGAAATGGGCAGCAGGAAAAACATGGGCCCTGTGGTATCCATCAACACCATACTGGGGATCTCTGACCAAGGGGGATATGACTGATGTTCATAATATTAGGGACACTGAAGGATGAGGGGGACAGAGACTCCATCTACTCTTTTCCAGTGTTGATAACATTCCTGGAGAAAACTGTCCTGTTCATTTAACAGAGGCTTAATGGGATGTTATTTACATGGTGATGTTGTTTGCCTCCATGCCATGGAAAGGTTCCACTGCCCATTTCCACACACCGAGACTGTATTAAATGTATGGGCCATTTTTCTCCAGGCCATTTGGCAACCCTATCTTCCAAGCCGGCCGTCAAGGCCTCTTAAAGCTTTGGTGGGTTTACAGTTGGGAAAGTGAGTAGGATCAATCATATATGGAGTAACACCATCAGTCTGGGTAAACTATAATGTTTCAAAGGCAAGTCTTGGACAGTGTTTTCAGAATGCCTGAGAGGGTTGCCAGCTCTGGGTTGGGAAATACCTTGAGATTTGAGGGGTGGAGCCTGAGGAGGGTGGTGTCTGGAGAAGGACTTCAATGGGGCACCATGCCATAGGGTCCACCTTTCAAAGCAGCCATTTTCTCCAGGTGAACTGATCTCTGTTGCCTGGAGATCAGTTGTAATCTCAGGAGATCTCCAGCCACCACCTGGAGGTTGGCAACCCTATATAGTAGTGTGCTGCTTGTGGTTGTTTTTTTTAAGGTACCAGGGCTGAGGCCGGTGGGTGGGTGGGTAGACAGGTATGTATGACATCTGCTTGGCAAATTAGGAAGCCAACCATGGTTCTGGGACCATGCATGACTGGGGGGGAAATCTATGTAAATCTTTAGTACATCCATTGCTATCTAAATAGTGTGTGAGGGTCAGCTATTTTCACAATAACAGTGTATGGTCAAGGAGCGTTGTACCCTGCCCTGTCTTACACCGTATCAGGCGCTCTGTCACCTTAAGGGTTTTGCTCCCAGCCTGACTCCAATACCAGAAATCAGCAGAGCTGGAAGAAAATGTTGAAAGCATCAGAATGAGGTGGTATACCTGTGTACACTGTTTATCTTCAAAACAATAAGAGGTCCCACCCATCTTTAACTTGCAAATACTCTTGTTTGTAACACAGGGTGAAGAACCAAGACTGGGCTAGAAATATGGATTTTTAGAGCCCTTAAGGATCCATCACATGGGGAGCCTGAAGACCAAAGAGGGACAATGCGCCCTCCCTGCCTCTTCCCCAAAGGCACCCTCGCTACCAGTCCGCCTTGCAGAGAGCCAGGGTCAGGTTCTTGTTACCCTTTCCCCACATTTGCTATCCAGTTCAAGGCCCTTCTCTCAATCCTGTGTCATTTGGGGATCTTTTGTAATGGCATTTCTTCACCATTTCCCCTCTCTCAGTTCTCCCCCCCCCCCCCCCCATCTCTTTCAGTTTGTAAGCTCCTTGGGGGCCGGGACCTGTCGGTATTGCTCAGGTAACTCTGTAAAGGCGATTTTTAAAAATTAAGTCACACAAATGACATGTTCCCTCCCTTCTGGCATTATGAAACCACAGATACGAAGGGGTTTTCCACACAGGGACAGGCTTGCCTGGTTTCCCCATTACTGCTGCAGCTGCCAGTACAGTTTGACCACGAGAACAAAATAATTTATAAGCTGTTTCCTATGTGGTGGTGGAAAGTGCTGTCCTGTCGCCTGGAGAGGAGGCGACTGAGAGGTGATCTGAGGGTGCTCTTCAATTATTTGAAGGGCTGTCATACAGAGGATAAAGAGTGGAGTTGTTTTCTGTTGCCCCAGAAGGTCGAACGAGAACCTACTGATTGAAATTAGATCAAAAGAGCTTTCAGCTGAACATGAGGAAGAACTTCCTGACATTAGAGTGGTTCCTCAGTGGAACAAGCTTCCTCAGGATGTGGTGAGCTCTCCTTCTTTGAACATTTTTAAGCAGAGGCTAGATGGCCATCTGACAGCAATGCTGATTCTGTGAACTTAGGCAGATATGAGGGGGGGGGGGGCAGAAAAGGATGAGCCAGAGCTTGGCTTTCATGGCCCTTTCTTATATGCCCAGGGATCAGGAAGGAATTTTCCTCCAGGCCAGATTGCCCCAGGGATCATAGAGGTTTTTGGCCTTCCTCTGGGCATAGAGTGTGTGTGTGTGGGGGGGGAGGGGAATGGGGGAGAGAGGTCGTTGCGAATTTCCTGCATAGTGTAGGGAGTTCGACTCGATGACCTTGGAGGGTACTTCCAGCTCTATGTTTCTATATTTCTAACCCCATAGGGTCTTCAAAACAAGAGACAGGCAGAGGTGGTTTGCCACTGCCTGCCTCTCTGTAGCAACCCTCAGCTTCCTTGGTGGTCTCTCATCCAAGTAGTAACCAGGACCAACCTTGCGTAGCTTCCAAGAATCTGACAAAATCAGGCTAGCCTGGGCCATCCAGCTCAGGTTTCCTATGCAGGCTTAACCTAATAAATTGTACCAGAATGCATTCCAAAATGACCATCAGTAAAGCATATTGCTAAAAGGAGTCTTTTGTAAAGCCTAACATTTTTTAGAAAGAAGAATAGGGGTGGGGTGGGGGGCCGAACACACACTAGTCAGTAGACTTGAACAGGATCCAGTAGGACCTTAAAGGCTAACAAAATAAATTCCAGAATAAGGTTTTGTGTGTTAGCGCTCACTCCATCATGGAGTAGGGTTGCCAAGTCCATCTTCCACCCCCAGCGGGGGACTTTGGGGGTGTTCCTGGAGGGGGCGGGGCATCCCGACATGATGACGTCACGTTGGGGACGTCTGCCGCCCCCCTCCCACGCCCGTGTGCCGGATCTCCAGAAATGGCAGTTCCCTGCACTTAAAGGAGCCGGCGTTTCCCCTTTAAGAGCAGGAGCCGGCGTTTCCCCTTTAAGAGCAGCTGTGTTTCCCTTTTTAATGCACGAAGCTGGCATTTCCCTGCGACAAGCGGAGATCGGGCTTGGGAGGAAACACAGGCTTGGGAGGAAACACGGGTTCCACACACTTAAAGGGAGAGAGAGGGGTGGCTGTGGGTGTTGGGGGTGGGGCTTCTCCCGCTGGCCATCTGGCCGGCGGCGGGTAGAACCCCCCCAAAACGGGGGACCCCTGGCAAACTGGGGGGGTTGGCAACCCTATCATGGAGTGTCCTACTGGACCGATGTTAAATTTTGATACAATACAGACTAACACAGCTAACCCTTTGGAAAAGATAACAGAAGCAATCCATCTATCAATCCTTACCTCCAATCAAGTCTTCTTTGTTTTAGTGCCATGTCAAGCTATGGTGTGACTCCCACAACTGGAGGAGGAATTTGAAAAGACTCTCTTTTTAAACACATGTCATTGGTGATTGTGACCTGGCAGCTATATTTGATGACCTCACTCCAGTGTACCCAGAGTGAAGTCTTCAACAACTGGTCAAAAAGTCCTCTATGGATTTCTTTCATCTTCCTTAATTCCAGACCCGGGCCTTGGCTACAAAAATGAGGATGCAGTTCACGGAAAAGAACCATAACAGCTTCATGATGCAGGCCCTGAACAAGCAGAGAAAGAACAAAGAGTTCTGTGACGTGGCCCTCAGCGTGGACCAGAATGTCTTCTACGCCCACCTCAATGTCTTAGCAGCCGTCTCCTCCCATGTCAGGAACCTGATAGTCAGCAACGACATGAAGACGGACGATGAGCTCTTCATCATCATCGACGCCAAGTTCTTGAGCTCCAGCTTGGTAGAGGAGCTGCTGGACTATTTCTACACTGGGAAAATTCTTATTTCTGAGAAGAACGTCGAAGAGTTGCTGAAGGGAGCCAGGTATTTCAATTCCCAGACTCTCAAAAGCCACTGCTCTGATTACCTCCTCAGGTCCCTCAGGAAGGACAACAGCCTATACTACATGTTCTTGGCTACCACGTACGATCTGAAAGAGGTGGGGAATTCCGCCTACGATGGTGTGCGAGAGAACTTCCACTACTGGGCCAGCCCCCAGGGCATCGAGGACTTGATGTGTTGCCCCCCTCAGATCTTCGGAAAGCTCCTGAAGGATGAGAACCTTCACATACAAAATGAGGACCAGGCCTTCCTGGCTCTCCTCCAGTGGGTGAAGCACAAAACGCCTGAAAGGGAGAAGTATTTTAAGAAGTATTTCGCCTACATCCATTTAACCGCCATCTCCAGCAAGGCCCTGATTTCTGCTTGCCGGGAAGTGTTGGTCTATCAAGACCACTCTGGTCTCCTGTCCCGGATAGAGAACGTTTTGAGTGACCGTAAACACGGAAATCCTCAAAGCCTGATGCTCTACCAAAGGAAAGGGGCGTTGGTGGACTCCGTGGTGATTTTAGGAGGACAAAAAGATCAGGGCAGGTTCAGCAATGGCGTGTTTGCTTACATCATCGACGAGAACATCTGGCTGAAGCTCACGGAGATGCCGTACAGAGCGGCTGCTCTCAGCGCAACGTCCTTAGGGAAGTATATTTATGTCTCGGGAGGAACCTCGGAGCAGATCTCTGGCCTGAAGACAGCCTGGAAGTACGATATGGATACCAACTCCTGGATCAAGCTTCCAGATCTGCCCACAGGTCTAGTCTTTCACACCATGGTGACTTGCGGAGGAGCCGTGTACTCTGTAGGGGGAAGCACGGCACCCAGGAAGTACATTTCGAGTATCTTCAAGTACGACGAAGGGAAGGAGAAGTGGATTCTGGCTGGGAAGATGAGCATTCCTATGGACGCAACCGCACTGATCACCAAAGGAGACAAGGCTATTTACATCGTGACGGGGAGATGCCTCGTGAACGGCCAGTTCTCTCGAGTAGGCGTGGTGGATTGCTTTGACATCCAGACCCGGAATGTGGTGCAATACATTACGTTTCCCATCCAGTTCAATCACAAGCCGCTGCTGTCCTTTCCCCAGGAGAACGTCCTGAGCATCCAGAGCCACAAAGAGAGTCTGGAAATCAACCTGCAGAAAATTAAAACCACCAAAACGACGAGCCTCATACCCCTCTTGCCAAATAACTACAGCTTGGACCCCTCGCACGCGGTGTGCTCTGTCGGGAAGAACAAGGTGTTTGTGTGCGGCGGCCTTATCTGTCCTGGCAACAAACGGCCAGAGGAGTATTGCATCAGTCGGCAAGCATACATGTTAGATCAACGCGCCCAGGAGTGGAAGTTGCTTGCTGACCCGCCGGAAGCCTTGGACTGTCCTGCTTGCTGTACAGCTAAGTTGCCTTGCAAGGTTCTTCAAAAAACTGTAGTCAATTAATTAGGGAAGACAGAAAAACAAACAGAATTTCTAGCAATAAAGAATGACTGGATTGCAGATCACAGGTAAACATGCCTCGTGAATGGCCAGTTCTCTCGGTCATCCTCTTGGCCACTATGTCCCTGTACCTTGACTCAGGTAGGATGGGACATCTGCTCTGTGAGAACCACTTGGATGGGGAACAAAGAGGTCATCATGTAATATATTAACAATTAACACATTAAATTATGTAACTTTTTTCAAAACTGTAGACAAAGTGCCAAGTTCCAGTTTATTCAGAGGCTTAGCAAGGGCAGCAGGCCAGGCAGAACAATGTTATTGCAGTTTCTCAGTATCTGGGCCTGCAGCATGGCACCAAAAAAACACATTCAGTCACTGAATACTACTATGGTATCAGGAGTCGTGCTGCACCCCAAAATAAGGCTTGGACCCTCATAAATCGTATATCCTCAGAGACACGAGACCGTATCCTATGAGGGGAACAAGGCTTGTTCGGGGGCCCAGCTGCTTCCAGTTTCCCCCAGAGGGCACTCTGCTTTGGAGCAGTCAGTGTTAAAAGTGTATAAATAAAAGCAGCCTTGGGAGTGGAAATCAACATGAACTGATCAAGTTTGAGGACTAAAGTTAACTTGCACATTTTAGTTGGGTCTGTATAATTGGATTTTGTGTACAGCCATTTGTGTTGGACACCAGGTGCCGCTTTTCCTGGCATGCACTGAGGAACAAAATACTGTTTTTAAAGGCACAGAAGCATAGCCAGAAAAGGTGGGAAATTGTGGTTTTATTCCTATACTGAGCACAGCAGCACATCAGATCATCTCCTCCCTCCAAACGTCGGGCTGCTCCCACACGGATGCTGGGCTCTGCCTTGGCTTCCTTACTGCGATGTTGCTTTCGGAAGCATCCATATGATGTCCTCCTCTATTTGTCTTGTTTCCATGCTTTCTCTTGACTTTGCAGCAAACCTGGTGTGGAACAATCGTTTTGGACAGATCATGGTCAAAGCACCTTTGGACACTGGAAGCCACAGCAGCCACAGAAGAACATAGGGTTGCCAGCTCTGGGTTGGGAAATACCTGGAGACTTTGGGGGTGGATCCAGGAGAGGGCGTGGTTTGGGGAGAGGAGGGACCTCAGCAGGATATAATGCCACAGAGTCCACACTTCAAAGCAGCCATTTTCTCTCGGGGAACTGATCTTGGTCACCAAATCAGTTGTAATAGCAGGAGATCTCCAGGTGGTACCTGGAGGTTGGCAACCCTAGAAGAGCATAAGAGCTTCAAAGGCCATAAAACATTAAATAAACTTTTCTTGGACGTCTTTTCAAAGTGGCAGCTGAAAAGTTTGAATCAGCTGGCCTCCCCCTGACCTGGATAGTCCAGGCAAGCCCGATTTCGTCAGGTCTTGGAAGCTAAGCAGGGCCGACCCCGGCAAGTACTTGGAAGGGTGACCTCCAAGGAATACCAGGGCCAGGACGCAGAGGCAGGCAATAGCAAGCCACCTCTCTGAAATGTCCAAGCCCCACTGGAGGTCACCAGAAGTCAACCATGACTTTCAGGTGCGTACACACACACACACACACACAGAATCAGCTTGCTGAAAAGGTCCCTCAGCATACTCTACACTGAGCCAACATGATGTCGTGATTACAGTCGTGTCGGACTAGGATCTAAGATCACGAGGTGACCTGGTGCCCAGTCTCTCTTCGCTTGGCCTACTTGACAAGGCGAGGGTGAGGACAACATTAGAGAAGGAAAGAATGGCTTTGGAGAAAAGTGGGATATAAATATCTAAATAAACACATTTTCCCCTGTGTTATTTAGGGGCCGCCATGCAGGTATAGTTAGTCCTAGAATAGCATCGCCCTTCGGCCAGCTCTGGTTCGGGGGGGGGGGATCACGAATGCATGGAAATTGCAGAGCCATCTGTGGAATTTCCTGGCAGGTGACAGGTGTGGCGGGTGAAGCAGACTGGAGAACTGGCTCAGTTGTTACACCGCTCTCCTCAACGCGGTCCCTTAGCAGAAGCCACTGCAGACCCCGGGGTGACCCTGACTGTTGTAACAGAGCTTCGGAAATCGAACGGATCAAGTTCTGCTGAGGACTGCGCAATCGGTTCCAGAGAAACACGGTAGGAGCTGAGCCAGCACCCGCCTTCAGCAGGAAGGGGGAAATGAGAGACAGGAAGCCTCCTCTCACTGAAAACGGCCAAGAAAAGCCCTGCCCAATTCCGACGAACTGTACACAAGTCTCTTAAATAAGGCAAGGTTGCCAACCTTTAGGTGGGGCCTGGAGATCTCCCAGGAGTGCACCAGATCGCCATCCTACAAAGACCAGTTTCCCTAGGAGAATGGCTGCTTTGGGAGGTGAACTCTATTGAATTCAGATCAAATCAGAAATTTATTTACACTCATAGATCAGAATAACTCTATTGAATTATACCCACTGAGTTCCTTCCTCTCCCTAAACCCTGCTGTCCCCCAGGCTCCACCCCCCCCAAATCTCCAGGAATTTTCCAACCCAGAGTTGGCAACCCTAATCTCAGGCCAGCAGCACTCGAGGAAGAGGGCTGAGCCTCTGAGCATATGCTGAGTACTTCTCTCCTTTCTGAAATACCTCTTTCCATGCATCTGGGTTTGGGAGGCAAGGTTCGACATGAGGCTGAGCCCAGTTAAATTCCATTTCTTTCCCCCTCCCTTTTTGAAATAAATTAAAAAATGAAAATAAATTCCATATCACTACTAGGACTCCTTTTATTAAAAAAACCAAAACACTACCATCTTATATACTCCACTGACTGATAGTAAGATGTCTACTTTCTGCAAATGTTTATGTCTCTGGAACAAGAGAAAGAGCTATTTTCTAAACACCACCACCCTGTTATTAGCCCACCTGATCCAGCATATTTATTTATTTATATCCCAGTCAGTCAGTCAGTCAGTCAGGCATTTATTACGGCAACAAGCTATAGAACACACATGCTTAAATATAACATTCATATAACTGAATTTAGGACAGTAAAATAAAACTCTATAAAAATACAGTTGAGCGTAATAAAGTAAAAGAAGAACATAAAACAGAGACTATTAGGCAACTATTATTATATATTTGATCGTGTATTTCGGATGCAGTAGCATGCTACCCAAAATTTTGCCACAGTTTCGGTAATTGTCCGGTTCCCATCAATTAACAAT